TTTTATGCATAAAATATAATACTGAGTATGTTGGAAGTTTCTAGTAAGGATTTCTCAAAGCGAGAGTCATTTAAATTAACTTTTTTTTTCTACATCCAGGAATTGAGCCTAAAGTAGAGCCCTCCATCACTTTACTCACATCTCTGCTCAGTTGTCACCAGTTCAGGGAGTCCTTCCCTGGCCACCCATTTGAAATTGGACTCCTATTTACTTGTTTACTGTCTACCTCACTAGAAGGTGAGATCTGTTAGGGCAAGGACTTTATTTTGTTCTCCTGCTATGTCCTACATTGTCTAGTACCTAGAAAGTCCTAACTATCTGATTATGAAATAAATGCATCTGTTTCAGGTTCACACAACTGGTATTACTTTTGGTCCTATTTATTGGGGTGGCCTTGGGTTATCCTGTACATTTCTCATTCCTCATGTCCAGGTGTAAAATTCAAATCTTAAATTGGAAAGAAGCTCCTTTGAGGTCATCTAGTCCAGTCCCCTCCCAGTGTAGCAATCCTGCCTGCTGTGTGCAATCTTTCTATTTTGTGGGAGCGTTCTGAGTGACAAGTGATGAGGCTTATTACTTATTACTTAGCACTTAGTGCTCTCCTAAGATGAGCCCATCAATATGTGCTCTCCCACCCGCCTGTGACCCCTTGTCACACCATAATTCAATTTGAGTCCTGCAAGTGCATAATTTACTGGAGCACATGCCCTATAAGCAGTGTTCCTGAAAATGATATTTTACCATTTGTTAGGGACTCTGTCATGCTTCCTCTTCCTACATTGTCAGACTGCCCTCCACATTGACTTCTCACTCGGCCTGTCAGGCCACCCAGAGTTTGAGGCTGGAAATAAGCGCCTAAGAATCTTTCAGTTTCACAAGGATCAACCTCTCCTGAAAGAGCCTCGGCCAGAGAACTTCTCTGCCTGGCAGCTCTGGGGCTCATCCTCAAGGAGAAAGCAGGGACCAGTGCTTTCAACATTCAGGCATGACACAAAGTAGAGGATACATTTCTATTTCCTGATTTTCAAGATTCATCAAGTTGATTGTCAAGTTTGTTTAAAGCCCCATTGAAACGTGCTTCTTTGACCTCATTTTCTGCTGTTGTGTTTTATTACCAAGTAGAGTTTTCCACGCATGATGGAGGCACCCATAAAGGCTGAATTATTTCCCTAGCATTGTAGAACTGGGTCTCTGTCACCCACACACCAGGTCTTCTGGCACCCTGTGCTGATCCCTTCCCATTTATGTAGCTCGTTTGTCCTCGTGGTCCACCTTGCTGTATCGTCTACCTGCTGCAGCTTTCCTGGACACAGGGCCTAAAATGGAGCTCTGCTGCGGGGTCCTGGCTGGCTGGCTGGCTGGCTAGCCCATGGCTTCTCCTTCGAAACCACACCCTGGAGACTCTGGTGACCTTGAGTTCCCCATGGCTTCTTGTTGCTATTTCCTCTCTACCATCCTCTTTACCATGACTGACGTTTGTCTACCAGGACACCTCAACACCTCACAGTGTCCTAGATCTGAACACAGGCAGGACAGCAACAGGGATTCGTCTTGGCTGCCACATGCACGTATTGCCCCTCCACCCACCCTTCGCATCTCCACTAAATTGTTGCTCCACTCTTCCTAAGACCTCAGAAGGCTGGAAATCCATTACCTCCAGAAGTAGTTTAGTACAGTTTCATTCAGCTCTCCATTAGAAAGTGCTTCCCTCTAAATTGAGCCGGAATGGGTGCCATTCCAACAACCCTCATCATTTTTACTCAGGCTAATGCTGACCTTTGGAGCAAAAGACAAAAAAATCAAATGTATTCTTCTCTTATATTTAAGATTGTTCATTTCCAAATTCATTAATAAATTCTCATTGAATGCTTATTGTATAATCTTTCTTTTATATTCTTATAATAAATGAAGACACATCAGCATATTTTTCACAAGGGATTCTTGGGCCTGGACAAACAGTATAAAGTGGTCCATTCAGAATATGCTTTTCAATTGTTGTGCATGCATGCGTAGAGCTACTGTAGCAAATTAAATAGTAACTAGGTTGGCAGATAGGATGTGCAGGGCTGTAGCTCAACAAACTGAGAAACTGAAGCTTTCTTTCCTTCAGGTTAGGCAGAATCCATGCCCTCTGTGCTATGGTTAAGTTTTAAGTGCAGCTTTAAGACATGAAATCTGCTGTGATGTGTAATTAGTTGGGAATCTCTATTTTCAGGGAAGGGAAATTCCCCTTCTATCTTTGAGTGCTTATGGCTGGACTGAAAATAAAATTGACACAAGACCAGATTAACTGGAGAAAAATCTATTTAATATGTGTGTATATAGATCATCAATGACACTCTGAGAAATGATGATCCAGTCCGCTTTTTGTTCTTTTTTAGACAAAGAAACAATATATTCAAGAAGAATTGACGGGACAAAGACTCAGCTTTGGATGCTCATTAGTGAGGAATCTAAACAAAGTTTGGGCTTGTATAGTAAATTAGTGAAGAAGTAACAGGGTTGGTTTATGGAAGCTTTGTGGCCCTGGCTCCCTCACTCCAGTGAGAAGGGCATCTCCCTTAGCTCCCCTGCAGCAAGGAGGGCACCTTTAGCTGCAGAGATTTATTCTCTGCATTCAAGGCAAGCGAGGGTCAATGTGTGGGCCCTTCTCATGCCAGCTGCTTGTTAAGTAACTTTAATTCAATGTAATCACTATGTCGTTGGGGGGTAATTTGAGGTGGCCTGCCATGGGCCCCAACACTGTTATCAAAGTTCACTGCTATATTTTCTTTTAATCAAACTTTTCTTAACAAAGCTGTAGGCTTTATTATGATCAAGGCTGTGTAAGTCACAGTTTCCTGTTGAGAAAGTACTTATTTTTAAAGTAATCATAATCAGCAAATACGTATCAGAACAATTTACTTTGGAGCTGTAAACACAGCTTGTTTTACTACTTACGTATCTTACATATAGAAGAATAATAAAGGAAATGTTTGTTTTGTCTCTAAGAGACTGAGGATCCCCAGTCTGAAAACGCACAAAAATCCAATTAAAAATGAGACACTTAGACTAGCTGGTGGCTCAGTTGGTTGGAGCATCGTCTGGTACACCAAAAGGTTGCAGTTTCGATTTCAGGTCAAGGCACACACCTAGGTTGTGGGTTTGATCCCCAGTCAGGGCACATATGGGAGGCACATATGAGAGAGAATCAATGTTTCGCTCTCACATGGATGTTTTTCTCTCTCTTCCTCTCTCTCTAAAATCAATAAACATCCTCAAGTGAGGATTTTTTTTAAATAGGACACTTAAAAGGATTTTATGATGAAGAAGTTTGATTAATTATAAACTTGGAAGGATTGTGTTGTGCTGTATAAAAGCTGTTTGCAGACCAGAATTTTAAACTAAATTTGAACAGTCCAGCATTTGCCCTTGTGCTTCAGAAGTCATTTGATAGAGCCTTTATTTCTACAACATAATAATTTAAAGCTTTTGACTTTTAGATTCAAAAGGTAATTCGGGCACTTGAATACTGTCTGGAAGCAACTTGTCATGCCTGCCTTGTGGAATCGGTGATCAAAATGAAATGCAAAAAAATGCAGCCAGTCCGCAGCACATACTGGTTATTGCTACTCCAGGGAAAACAAGATGTGTTAAAAAAAATATATCTTTGTAAATATTACCATGTTTTTCCTAAAGCATTTTTTAACCAGTGATATGTGGGTTATGGGAAAAGTATAATTAGCCTAAGTGCTTAAACCAGTTGTCATGCATGAATATCTAGAGGTAATACAAAGACTTCTCCTTAATAGACTTTATTTTTTTAAAGAATAATTTTAGGTTTACAAACAAACTGAGAAGATAGTACAGAGAGTTCCCATACACTTTGCACCAGGTCTGCATATTGTTAACATCTCATATTAGTATGGTACATTTGTTAAAATTAATGAACCAACATTGATACATTATTATGAACTAAGGTTAAGAGTTTATTCAGATTTCTTTAGTTTTTACCTAATGTCTTCTTCTGTTCCAGGATCCCACCCGGGGTACCACTTTACTTGTAATTGTCATGTCTCCTCTTGACTGTCATGGTCAAATTTTCTTTGCTTTGATGACCCTGGCAGTTTTGAGGAGCATCGGTCCGATTGCGTGTAGAATACCTCAGTAATGGCACTTGTCCGATGTTTTTCTGAAGCTTAGACTAGAGTTAGGGCTTTTTTGGGAGGTGTTTACATCTGTCCCAGGCTGACACCTGCTCTTGGCCCACATTGGCTTGGGGTTTAATTTCCTTGCCCCAAACACAATACCACCATCTGCTTTATAAACCACAGAGATAAAGTGCCATTTTCTCATTACATCAAGGGGTTGACTGTTGACATTGACCTTGATCGCCTGACTGAAGTAGGATTTGTGAGGTTCCTCCACTGTGAAGTTCCTCTTCTCCCTCCGGTTCCACACCACAGTCTTTGGAAAGAAGTCTCTGTGTTCAACCCACACTTAAGTAAGACTTTTTTTTTTTTAACTTTCCAAAGTGAATCGAGACGCTTGTTTTGGATGAAGCAAGTTAGTATGTTGAGCCAAGGGACTAAGGATCAAATCCCTGAGATTTACCAGAAATTAATCTGAGTATTCAGTGTGACATGGTTTTCCTGTAGCTGGCAGGTGGGGCTGACTGTCACAATGTAGCGGTGAAGTGCTATATTGTCCTTTCCCCTGCCGAAAGCAATTGTTTCCTACAATCTCTGTCTGGCTCATTTCTGTAGTAAGACAGGGACGCTTGGTCTCAAACATTATTCCTTCAAGTACTGTTGTGAAAACTGATATTTGCTTAATTGATTTATCAGCATAGTCATTGTCTCTTTTTAAGGTTGTGTTGCTTTCTGCCTGATACCAGTCGATCTGTTGCTAATCATCTGTTCATCGGATCCATTTCAAATTCTGGTGAAGGAGGAAGAATTGGCCCTTGAAAGAGGGTAATGGTTTTCATATACCTAAAATTATAGCCAGGATTTTTTTAAACCTTCTTATTTAAGCTCTGTACTAAAATAGCAGAAACTAGTATCATGTTATTTGTAATAAAACTGGCAGAGTAAGCACAAGAAGAAAAACAACTGTTATAGTTAGTAGAAAAAAATAAGATGAATCTCTTTTTTTAAGTCCAGGGTACTTTGTTCTAAGATTTGGTACAATAATAACTGTATTTGGGGAGAATTAATAGAAGGGATTTCTAACTGGTCTCTTTCAGTGGTAAAGATGAGAGTTAGAAATCAAATGGCTCTTTATTGCAACTCTGATATGAATTAACATTTTCCTCTCTGAAATACTGTAGGGAGGGAAATTGCATGTTTTTGCAATGTGTGAGAGATCAACAAGTGCACAGGCTGATCTTCAGAACACAAGGCAAAAGTTAGACTGGCTTCCGAGAAAAATATGTGACAGGAATTTCAATTTCTAATGTGATAAGAGTGGCTATTCCTCAGTAATTAAGACACTGTTACTAATTATTTCCTTAATACACCGAAGCAGGATCCAGTTACAAGGTAGCTGTGAGGTGCTGCGTTGTCTTTGTCCCTGCTCAAAACAAAGCTGTTTCCTGCCTAGCCCTGCCGGCCTGGAGCTGTAGCCGTCAGGGATGCATGGTCTCACACACGTGTCCCAGTCCAGACGCTGAGTTGACCAGTGACTCCCGAGCATTATGTTTACTACCACTGAAATATTTTGCAGGTGATGACAGAGACATTATCGAGAGGGAATTCACATAAGGGACACACCACATTTTGATTATTATGATTTATTGGGAGTTCAATTCCTTATTTAATTAAAATATTTATCTCCCAAAAGTTGGTTTTGAGGGGAAGATTTTAAGTCGCCTTTTGTCCGCTCAAGCTATTGGGGGTGGGAGGACAGGGGGTGGGTAATAAAGACCACACTCCACAGCAAACTATATGCTGTCTGTGAAGTTCGTTACTGTTTCGTGGCCCAGAAGAGTGTGCAGCAGTTGATTTTGAATCAGAGTGTGAATATATACTGTTGTTATCTCAAGCTCATGACTGTTGTGCATAACTCGTCTCTATGGTTATAAACTGATCTGCCCATTACTTGTGAAAACTATATTCTTAGTTGAGTATTTGTCATCTTCATTGAATTACTTGCTTTTATTCTGGTGAATTAAAGTCATGTATTGCTTTTCAAGTGTGGTTTTTGTCAGCTAGACAACCATGAAAATCAGATAAATGAATGAGAAGAATAACCTTATCACCTCATAATATGATAAGATATATTTCAATTGTAGTTTGGGAAGATTTGTGGTTGATCAGAACAATGTGAAAGTAAATGTGAAGTTAAAAGTCAAAATTTTGGACTTTATATAGTTGATATTCAAAGGAAAAATCAATATTGTTAGCTCTGGTTGTCTTAACTTGCACGAGTCTTTTTTTGTTTGTTTTTGTTCATGTTGCTCGAATCTTGTGCTTTCTTGGTGATTCCTCTGTTACTGGGGTTTTCTCAGCATTTTCTGGTAGCAATATTTACTGATGCCGGCATAGGTATGGGGCTTTGTCATTAAATTAATTGAATGATGTCTTGCTATTAATGTAAAAATAATTTTGTTTAAAAAATATAATAGTTGATACGAATACGTGACAAGGTGGTGCTCAGAAATGGTGTTGGCCTGATTTGGGACATAGATTCATAAGTGAAACAGCATGATGTTTGGATAAAAAGAGAGTCAGTATTTCCATATTTGGTTTTTTCTTGTCCTGGTTATTTTTCAGTTGCTACAGCCAAGACATTTTTTATTTGTAGTATTATGTGTTTTGGTGGTAAAAATATTTCAGTTGTTTATGTTATAGCATATGAGAGGATCGGAAAACAGTGATAAATATGGGTTACCACAGAAAATTTTTGGAAGTTCCACCCCCCATATACTGGGAAAGTTTTAAGTCCCGTATCAAGTATGTCCTGTAGAACTTCCTGCAGATGGAAATGTATCTGTGCTGCCCAACACAGCAGTGACGTGCCTCACGTGGCTACTGAAATGTGGGTAGGGCAACTGAGGAACTGAATTTTCCATTTTATTTCATTTTAATTAATTTCAGCTTAAATAGCCACAAGTGGCTAGTGACTATTGCTTTGGACAACATAGTCCTAATAACAGTTAACATTCCAAAGTTTATATTTGCAGTTTATAGTTCCAAATGTGTGTGCAAATGGATTGCATAGCTGTTCTTTTGCTTTTGTCCCTGGTGTTTACATCTGTCCCAGGCTGACACCTGCTCTTGGCCCACATTGGCTTGGGGTTTAATTTCCTTGCCCCAAACACAATACCACCATCTGCTTTATAAAAAATAATGCTCAAGATGCCTGATAGAAATTGATCTTACAGCCAGATGAATTTCTTTGCACTAACTACAAAAGAAATATTTCCCCCCAGATATTGTGATTAGCATCTAGTGCTCCAGTTCCAAGTACTCTATGTATAGTCTTGTCCAATAAACAGCCATTGATGATTAGTAAGTAGCTCATATTGTTAGTAGTTCATCTAGTATTTGGTAAGTAATATTCTGACGAATAATTTCCTTCTGTTCAGAATTGGCAGTAGAAGGAACATTTGGGAGGAAAGCTACAGCCATAAGCATCAAAGAAGACAAGAGGATTCCTCACAACACAGACTCTCCGCCACACTGTCATGGGGGAAATTTCAATAAATGTGGCTGACTGATTTACACTGTAATTCCTGGGATGAGATATTTTTGAATGCAGTGCTCACTGTTGCAGAATAGGCGTCTACACATGCATATGCCTCTTTCTCTGGAAGTATTTGCATCTTGTCTCATGTTCTTAACAGATCAGAAATACAGATTTTGATAGAAAACAACGTAAGTCATGAGCTCTGCGAGGAAAGTCACTGGCTTTATCCTCTTTCAAGTTAGACTGTTGGGGTTGGGTATGAAAGATGAGGTTTTAAAAATCTTTCTTAGAAATTTATTTCCCAGTTCTATAAAAATGGTTATATTGTTTTCTGTCATTCAATAGTATACTTGTGGGTGAAAGATACATGTTGTATAAAAGCAGCTAATTCCATTCAGTAGTATATCAGCCTTTATTGTGTTAATCATCAGACTGAATAGAATAAATATTAAATGATTTTTTAAGAAAATATTTGAATTTATTTTATCTGGTATTGTGTTTTTATTCAGTAAAGCATTTTATTATTGGTAGGTGTGAAATGGAGCCTTTTGTTTAAGCACCAATGATTATATCCTAGGGTTAACTCCAGAAAAATTTTCATATTATATATTGAATGTTCCATAAATGACAATAAAATAGATTTTTCTTTAAAGTCATTCAGTCGCTGTTCCTTAAAATTTGTACTTTTTGCCATAACTCCATGTTTCCAAAGAGAGAAAGGAAGAAGATAAAATAGCACTCTATAGTATATTTTATTGCAGTTATAAAATTACACACAAAGAATGCAACTAATGTGGCTTTTCACAAAAAGGTTTAATCACCCCAAGTCAGCTGCTGCTGGCGGCAGCAGAGAGACAGCTCCGTAGCGGGTGTGCCACCTGCTGCCTGCTGGGAGCTGCTGCCTGCTGAGCGCTGCTGCTCTGCGGAAGGAGCAGCAGGGCAATGCAAGGGTTCTCCCTCCCCTGGGGCGGCCAGCATTTCCTGGTGTAATACAAAGTAGCTACTCAACATCCAAGATTCCAGGTTAATAAGCTAATCAATAAAACTATTTTTCCATAACAATAACATGGAGTTGCTGTAACAAGATTATTAGGGAAGGATTGACATTTGAGTATTTTTCCTTATTTTTTCCTATTCACAAATTGCTTATTTAGCAATCTTTATCTTGACCACAGCTTATAATTTGTCAAAAAGAACCACTCTGACAGGCAGTGAATATTTCACTAGTTTCGATTAGTATCACCTACAAAAAAAAAAAAATTATGGCAATCAATCTCTCGGTATGAGCAGCCCTCTGTCCTTTCTCTCTAGAGTCCCAGTACCAATGCTTGCCACCTTCTTCACCCTAAAACTGCTGCTGTGACAGACAAAACAAATGCTGGAAGCCTCAGAAGTATCAGATCGATTGAAAGTCATCACCGTCTCCAGTAAGCAAGTGTGCAGAAGGGGATCCTCAAGAATGAAACAGCGGGCGGCCCTGGGCCTTGATGCCCATTCCCAGCAAAGGTGGGAAGGCAGTGCAGAGAACTGCACAAAGATGAGACCAGAACAAACCAGCATGTCCTGTGTTGTGTGAGGAAAAGGTAATGACAGAATTTGTGAGGAGGCCTTCACAGCCCTGTTTAATGATACAGATTTTATATTTAGAGTCAAGGCCGTCCATTATGTCCATCCCAGGACACCTTTGATCACTTCCGTAAACTCGGTCGCATTAGGCACCAATTCCCGCTCCACACGCTCCCCTCCCTGGGCTCCGCTCCCACTTTGCTCTCTTCCCAGTGGGGCCCTCTGTTGTCCTCTCTGCCCTCTGCAGCTTCCTGGGTGCTCCTCAAAGCAGCAGACCAGCTGCTTCCTGTATGACTCTAATGACCATTAGCACTTCAGCCAATATGTCCAAAACCAAACTTACCATCTTGCTCCAGTGATATTTGTCTCATTACCTTGAACCTCCCTCCCTTATCTAGACTCTGGTGATGGTCTCCAAACTTGTCTCCCAGCCCTGGTCTTGCCTTATCCAATCCATTTACCACTCAGATCACAGGATGGTCTCATAAAAATATAAAGTATTCAATGGCTTTCCTTTCTGCCTCAGATTCCCTGCCTTTGGTGTTGCATCTAAAAAGTCATCACAAAACCCAAGGTAACTGAGATTTATTTTTTGTGCCTGTAGGTACCCAATTGTTGAAAAGACTATCTTATTCATTATGTTGTCTTTGCTGTTGTGTAAGAGCAGATAAATATAGCTGACTGTACTTATATGGATCTATTTCTGGGCTCTTGTAAGGGAAACTATTTTTCTCCTCTACCCACCAAATTCTACTCACAGAATACTTCATTTCTGGCAATTCTGGTCACTAAATGTTGGGGTTTTCCCACATGAAGCAATTCTGTGATACCAGCTGGGTGTCCTACAGTCTCACTCAGTTCTGGCACTAACTGACCTGGAGACAGCATCAGATCCCACAGGTTGAGGGCTCAGTCCCACAAGACTGCCCCTTTCTCACACACTTAAGATGCCAAATGCAACTCCAGGTTGTTACTTATGCTTCTGACTATAAGTTGGAGATTCCCATGGCTGCCTTCTCAGGTTCTATTGACTTTCTAGTGTGGCTCACAGAGTTCAGGAAAACATTTTACTTGCCAGAGTAGCAGTCTAATATAGAAAGAGAGAGGTCAGGATACCCAGATGAAAGAGAAGGCGAGGGCAATGCACGGGGGAAGGGGCCTGGAGCTCGCATGCCCGGTTTGGTGTACTATCCATCAGCACATCCATGAACTCACCAACCCAGAAACTCCAAACCTTGTACTTTTGAGTTTTCATGGAACTTCTTTCTGGAGGCATGATTGATTACACTATTGGTCATGGGTGATAAATTCAACCCTCAGCTTCTCTCCCATCCCTGGAGATCAAGAAGTGGGGCTGAGCTCTAACTCTCCAATAACACGGTTGGTTCCACTAAC